AGAAGCTCTCCATCTCTTACAAAGATAAGCATTTTTCTAAGCATATACAATCAAAGTCAAATTTAAAAAATATTTTCCCAAACTCAAAATAAATACAGAAAACATCAATGTAAGATAAAAAAAAAAAAGATTGTCCAGTTTACCACCTTACATTGCTGATTTTTCAGGAAGAGCCCGTTTACCAGCTCTGTCTACAACTTAGAATTAACTGTAATTAAGTGCATTATGCTATGGTAATAATTTAATTTTGATTAAAGATAAATACCATTATTAATAAATTATAAATAAAAACATATGCCTACTCCCAAAAGATGACATTAGAATCTAGTAAAGTCCCCTAAAATACAAGGACGCAATGTTATCAAATGTCATTCTGTAGTTTATTTCTTGTCTTTTAGGAAAACAGAGTGTCCTCGGTTGGCATTAAGTAGTTTCCAGTCATGAAGATGGAAATCCAGACAGCCAGATTTGTCTTGTTGTCTTATTTGACCAGGTGGAAAATAAATCAACTCTCCCCATCTGATATAGTCCCAAATTAACTAAGAGTATCACTGCTTCTTTGGTTTGTCTCTTTGTCCGGGAACTAAAGGACTTGAAGACCTTGCACTGACTTCCCGCTAGCATGCCAGGCACAAGCCCAGGGCCAGGCTGGGGGGACGTCACCCTGGCCACCTAAACCTGCCCACATGGGCACGGACTTCTTAAACCAGAGGATGGAGGTAGCAGAACGAACAGACAAAGCAAAACACTGGTACAGCAAAAACTACCTTTGGCTCTTGAATTTAGCTTTCTGCTTATATTTAAGGTTGACTGTGCCTGGTAAGAAAGGAATTCATTTCTTTTAATTAATTAAAAAAAAAAAGTTTGTCCCTTTTCCAAATGGCAGGCACGAAGACATACCCCCACTCCCCCATCCCCTGTGCCCACCCAGCCTTCATGGCTCTTCGCCCCAAAAGGGTGGTTGGGGGAGGGCGGAGGGGAAGGGAGCGGGAGAGAGCAGGCAGCATCACGGCTCAGTTTCAGGGCAAATCTGGGAACAAAGCATCTTTTCCTGATGGTCATACTTTCAAACCAGGAAGATCGAGGAACCCCTAAGTTCCCACAAGCCACAAATCCTTCCATCAAATTCAAAACAGAGAATGTGAGCACATTTCCTATCCCCAGGCACAGAATTGAGAGTTTGTTCACAGGACACCTCAGCTCAAGTTCACATAGAGATTTTTGGATCAGGTAGAATCAACAGAAATGAAAATAAGTGGTAATAATAATCGATAAGAGAGACTTCAGGAGCTAACGTTTGAAGGGACCCGCAGTTCACTTAATCCTCTACTTAGTCAGACCGCCCAGCACTCGGCCCGGATACCTAACCCGGCGGCTGATCACCAAGCACCCGCTCCCCGCCAGACACACGCCAGGCGCCTGGGCGGAGGGCGGAGACGCCCGGGAGAAGTTAACAATCAGGAAATTGCTGAAATGTCAGTCCCGATAAGACAAATGCTAAAATTCTTCTTAAAAAAATAATGGGAAAACAAATACTTTCAAATGGGACGCACACAGAAAAGGTGAACATCTCATCCATGTTGAAAACGAGGCGCACGGCAGCCGTTACAGCCCAGCAGGCTTGTTAATTACTGGCCCTGTTACAGAGCCACCCGCTGTCGCGTGGAGAGCGGCCGGGCGCCGCCGCGCTGGCCTTTGCCCGGGCAGCCGGGGCGCG